CCTAACAGAATGCCTAGGTACAGGAGATGCCTTGTCAATACATGCTGGATGGACATTGAAAAGTTGGGGCAACAGAGGGGTCTGAGTCAACCCAGGGAAGCCGAAATTTGGCACCAGAGATCCAAATGACAACCTTTGGAATTATCGTTAACTGTGAACAATGAGGGGTTAGGGACAGTGACACCCCTTCCCCACGTGCAGTAGAAAATCCACATGTAACTTTTGCTCCCCAAAAGCTTATCTACAGTCATCCCTTAGATTCAGGGTCCCCCCTAGTATACCAAAATCGGCGGATGCTCAAGTCCCTTATAACTGGCCCTTCGCATCTGCAGGTTCTACGTCCATGGATTCAACCAACTGACATCTGGGGTGGATACGGAGAGGTGACTGGATTTATTGAAAATATCCACATGTAGATGAACCCTTGTAGTTGTACAAGGGTCAACTGTACTACAAGGATCTGTATGTGCTCTGGCTTAGACAAAGTAGTTTAGATTCTCTTTTAGAATAATGGCAGAAGACATTAAAGTCCTCTAACGGGTATAGCAACACTGGTGAGGATGCAAGTCTGACTCAAAAAATCATTCCAGAACTGTTGTTGTGTACTCCTGGCTTAGCTCCAACAAGGGCTCCTGCCCCAGGACACTGAATCCTACCTGTCTTTTCTCTCACTGTTCTGCCCAGACCCAACCTCCTCATGCTTGGAGGAAGGACGCTTGCTGACCAGGCTTCTCCAGGGCAGAGCTTCTCCCCACCCTATCACGTCATCCTCATGCCCACCCCTGCAGTGGAGTTGTGATCCCCTTATCACAGAACAAGCACGAGGGAACATCCCAACCACCGTGCCAAGGTCTGCCATCTACACTGTCCCTGAGAGTTTTCTAGTGACCTTGAGTGTAGTTTTCATGTGCAAAAGAGAATACTCAGAGATGACTTTGGTTTTTAAAATTATTCTCCAATCTAAAGTTACAAATTGAAAAATCTAGTTTTTCATTAAGCAGTGACATTCAGTATATAAATCTTATTCTATATATTAATCTAGCAAATGCTGACAGTCATTCTCCAGGGACCTTTGATTAATGGGTGGTTGCCTTTCTAAACTTGCTTGATATTCCTCTAGACATTGTATAACTTCAATTTTCTTTTTAAGAACTTAATGGATCTGACTAATATGTCTTCCACATTCTTTAAGTAATTCTTAGAATTTTAATAAATTAAATTTATATATATGGTGAGACTTAAATCTTACAAATACTAATAAAAGCTCAGTAAGACTCCCATATAAAGTCACAGGTCTAAATCCCCACACTTTTTAAAGCAGATCACAAAAATTTTGTCTGTTACTTGAAAAGGCCAAATTTGCTCAAACATCACAACCATTTAAAATTCTAAACATGCACAATTTCCTCAACATGAAAATTTAATAGTATGGCAACCCCAGATTGGAAGGAAATGCTTGCAAATTATATTATCACATAAGGGATTAATATTCAGGATATAAAGAGAACTCCTAAAACAAACAGCAACAAAACCAAATAACTCAATTCAAAAATGGACATGAATAGACATTTCTCCAAAGGAGATAAACAAATAGGCAATGAGCACATGAAAAGACTTTGCTCAATGTCATTAATCGTTAGAAAAATGCAACTCAAAACCACAATGGGATAATACTTCACACTCATTACGTTGGCGATTATAACAACAAAGAGACTATAATATACACTGGCAAGGACACAGACACGGGGACTCTAGACGCTGCCGGCAGGCTGTATCTTTCCGCTCTTGAAGCAGTAAGATAGTTCCTTAATAATTTACTTCAACATAGAATTATTATTTGACCCAGCAATTCCACTTCTGGGTACGTATCTCAAAGGACAGAAAGCAGCCCCTGAACAGATATTTGTACAATTGTGTTCATGGCAACAGTATTTGCAATTGCTCCATGGGGGAGGTAACACCAGTGTCCACTGACAGATGAATGGATAAACAGAATGCACTAAATCCACACAATAGACTATTACTCAACTTCAAAAAGAAAGGAAATTCTGACACATGCTACACCACAGAAAAAACTGGGGAACATGATACTAAGTGAGATAAGCCAGTCACAAAAGGGCAAATACTGTAGATTCCACTCATAGGAGGTACTTAGGTACAGAATTCATACATAAATTTATAGACACAGGAAATAGAAGGTGGTTTCCATGGCTAGGGAGGTAAGGGTATGGGCAATTATTGTTTACCGGGTACAGAGTTTCAGTTCTGCAAGATAAAAAAAGTTCTACGGACAGACAGCTGCTGTGTAGCAATGTTAAAATGGCCGGTTTTATGTTATGCAATAACATAAATAATAAATAAATAAAAATGAAAATTTAAAAATTAATAGCATGAGTTTCGTTTTCTTACCTATGTCCACATTTGATTCTAAATCTTTATGGAGTTAAAAAAATGCACCTTCTGCAGCATGAGTTCAATCCCTGGCCGGCCAGGGAGAAACCCACATGGTGAGGCAGACCTCTCCTGGCTCGCCTGCTGCTCCCCTCAGCAGTGTACTTCATTCCATCTGCCTGTTCTGTTCTCTACTTTGTGTCTGATAAATCCTCTCACCTATACCTATACCCTAGCTGGCCTATACCCTAGCTCTGGTATGCATAAAAAATAAAAAAAAGAAAGAAAACTTTGTCTATCCCAAATGATCTTGAGGCTGCCTTCCCAAGAAAATTTTGAGGGGTAGCTTCTCTCCCAGTTGAAGGTGTGTGACAATCTCTGGCACAGTTGGGACATGAGGTGTAGAGCTACAGACAGGAAAATTTTCTTAGCACTTTGACAGGCTAAACACCTTTGAACAGTCACAATATCATGAACTCTTTGCAAAACTTCAGGCAGGGATTTAACTGACCAAGGCCATGTCCAAGTCTAAGTCTTGTCTCCATCCTCTCAAAGGTTGTTCCATCACTCGAGTGAATTCTACCTTTCTTTGGTTTTTAAATTACTTGGATGTTTTCCTGTCTAGTTGTAGGGTAAAGAAAATATCAGGCTTTTCTGCCCTTCCACCATCAGGATAGATGATGGATCCTTGTCCTGAATGCATGCCTGATGGCGGGCACCTGGAGTAGGGTGTGGGCATAGGTAGATGGGATTCAGCTGAGCTAAGACTGTGCTTTTAAGGGCGGCGTCACGGGGACGCGAGCAGCAGTAGAAGCCGAAAGAGAAGCCGAGAAGCAGCAGAAAGAACGCCAGAGAGTCCAGATAGAGTGAAGACTTGCTGGGGGCTGGGAGGCCTGCCAGCCTCCCAGCCCCCCAGCCAGCACCCCTGCCTGCCATATGCCTGGTGAACCCCAAATAAAAAACCTCCAAAAACCCACTAAGGACTCTGACTCCTTTACCCAGTCTGCATGGGATCAGAAAACCTGCTCCGCGTCCAGTCCGGCCCTTTACAATTGGCGTAAGTCGGCAAGATCCATGCAGACGGGTATTGGAGCCCTCCGAAGACCTGGAGGGACTAAGGAGAACAGACTGCCTGTGATGACGCTGGAGGTGCCATGCCGGCACAGAAGGTGGACAACGTCCACGAGCTACAGGACGAGACCTGGCGTGAAGGAGACGCCCAAAAGGACCAGCCAACGACACCGGAAAGGACCAGCCAATGACCCCTGAGGCAGCAGGCCGTTGCTGACGTAGGGAGAGGCCAATGGACTTGAACTGATGGACTGATGGACTAGGACTGACAATCCCGCCAGAAGGCAGAAGACCTTGCAGGTTGATATGTTTTGGGAGCCTAGGGGTGGAACAGTTTTGTTTGTAAACCCCAGGAGATGGGAATCTGGGGGTGGCCAGTGGGCCTAGATGGCCAAAAGCAGCCTGTGCATGCCCAGCAGCCAGGTGGAGGAGAAAAGCCAACTAAGAAGGCAAAAGCTGGTACTGATGCTAAGTTGAGAAGCCCTAAGCGGCTGTTAAGCAGCCTGAGTATGCTGAAGAACTGTGAGTCTCGTAAAATCACCTGTGGGTGATGCCCTGCTCATTCTTGAGTGAGGGTGAGGAGCTGAGGAACCTGTCCTTGGGGGACGGGTGGGGTACGTGGCTTGGGGTGGAGCCCAAGCCAAATGTAGAGTTTTGATCCCCAATCCATGTGATTGTGCAGTGGGTTGGCTTGAGTGCAGGGGTCTGCGAGTCGCATGGGTGGCTGTGAAGGCCGAGTGTTGGAGCGACTGCAGACAGAAACCCTGAGGGTTGGCGATTACCCCCAACAGAATAAAATTGCCAATCCCAGAGCTAGTGCATCCTGGGGGTGGATGCTGTGTGTGCCTTGTAGCCTAGACTACAGCCGGAGAAGGCCAGGAAGCCTGACGGCTCCTGGTGTGTTACAGTAGATGCCGTGAGTGATTCCCCTCCCTCGTATGAGCAGTGCCTTCGGCAGCAGATTTGGTGGCTCATCTGCTGGTACCAATAATTGTCTTTTGCACTAGGTTGGTGCCCTGCCTGGACTTGTGTTCTGTTGTATTTTGTTCTATTTGATGTATTTGCTTTTGTGGGCCATGGCTGCACTGTTTGTTTGCTTAGAAAATTGTATATATATGTATAGACTGTATGGCAGAAAACCCTGAGGGGGTGGACTGTAGGGTAAAGAAAATATCAGGCTTTTCTGCCCTTCCGCCATCAGGATAGATGATGGATCCTTGTCCTGAATGCATGCCTGATGGCGGGCACCTGGAGTAGGGTGTGGGCATAGGTAGATGGGATTCAGCTGAGCTAAGACTGTGCTTTTAAGGGCGGCGTCACGGGGACGCGAGCAGCAGCAGAAGCCGAAAGAGAAGCCGAGAAGCAGCAGAAAGAACACCAGAGAGTCCAGATAGAGTGAAGACTTGCTGGGGGCTGGGAGGCCTGCCAGCCTCCCAGCCCCCAGCCAGCACCCCTGCCTGCCATATGCCTGGTGAACCCCAATAAAAAACCTGCAAAACCACTGAGGACTCTGACTCCTCCTTTACCCGGTCTGCATGGGATCAGAAAACCTGCACTGTGCCCGTTCCTGCCTGTACACTAGTTCTACAGACTGTTGGATCTATTGGGATTTTGCGTTATTTTTGCATCCTGAAGTCACACCTTATAAATACATTTTAATGACCACTAGAACTGCATTCTGTGTCTCCCCACTTTTGTTTAAGTCAGGCCTGGCAACTAAGAAAGCCATTCCTGTGACATACATCCCCTCCAGTTGCTGTTTTAAACATACCTTCAATCTTAGTCTTGAAGTGAGGGTATCTGTTGAGAATCTGCACCTGCTTCCTCCAGTCAAATTCATTCCGCCAGTAGGAGACGACTTTCTTCAGGTAGTTAATGTTGAAACCATAGTGGAAACGGCAGTCCTCCAAAGGTGAGGCGAAGCGGGCCTTCTCCAGCCTCTGGTGTAAGTCCTAGAGCAACACGCAGGACCCAAGGAGAGGAGCACAAGAGAGTTGGTTCCCAGAAGCCAGAGCAACCTGAGACCAGAAGACACTGCGCTATAGCAAAGCTTCCCCTGAGGGAGTGAGGGGGCAGACTGGCGCTGTAGGGGTCAGGTTTATCCCAGAAAAAATCTCCTTGTTCCCCAGGCTTCCCACCAGGTGGCTGGTCCCAGAGCACAGGTGTTCTTCACTTTCGACTTCGGTTTACTTCTCATCTTTCGTTTAATAACACGTCTTAACAACAAGCAGCTTTAATTTACCTTAAAAGTGGCAACCTTCTTTTGGGAAAAGGTCAGAGAGTAAATATTTGAGGCTTTTTGAGCTGCAGCTACTCTGCTCTGTCTTTGGAGGGTGGAAGCAGCCATAGACAAGTGTGGTCGAAGGGTGTGGCTGTGTTCCAGTAAAGCCTGATTTATGGACACAAGTTTGAACATCATCTAATTTTCATGTCACAAAAGTATTTTTACTTTTTTTTTCTAACCATTTAAAGACGTAAAAGTTATTCTTAGCGGGGTGGTTGTACAAAATCAGGCCGTGGGCCAGATCTGTCTCACAGGCTGTGACTGATACACAACACTGAATGACACAATGCAACTCAGCTGGGATGAGAATTAATGGCCAGGAGAGAGGACACAGGTGTAGTGGGTGCGCATCAGGCCCTGCCTAGGGCAAGTTCAAGATGGCCCCCAGGGTCTCTTAAGTGTTACTCTTTCCAGGGCTTCCTCCCAAGCACTTCCATCACCTCCAAACAGATTTCAGAAAGCTTAGACTCCTGCAGGAGTTATCCCCAGTGCCCAGCCTCTGTTCGAAACAGCAAGGCCTCATCAAATCCTACCAAGGGAGCCTCAGCCTGGTTTCTTTTAGTTGTGTCCCAGTTTCTACTTTTTAATGCCTTCCTCCTTTTTATCTTGCTATGGCATTGATCCCCAGGAATCTCTTTAATTTTTCCCTGTGCACATTCCTTTTCTCACCTATGAGCTATTTAAAGGAAGAGATGACCATTTTTTCTTTGAAGCACCCAGCACAGTGTCTGCACACAGTAGGTGTTCCAATATCTACGCAGTGAAAATTTGAATGGAGAGAGACAACCAGCCCCACCTACCCGCCTGGCCCTGGGTGGGTCTAGCTCCTCCTCCTTCTTCTGGGGTGAGGCTGACCTCTCAGCTCAGCCCAGTCCACCACTCATGTCCTTCCCTAGGGAGGTGAGGACAGCAGCTTTGGAGTTAGACCCGAGTCTGCTTATTGTCTCAGTCACTTTGGACCAATTGCTTCACCTCTCTGAGCTTCAGTTCTACATCTCTAAGATGAGAACAGTCCTTGTGACAGAATTATGGAAGGGCTGAATGTGACCACAAATGGCTGCACACAGTAGGTGCTAAGACCTGATGGCCCCTGCCTTCTCTGTGCTTCAGCATTTTATGTCCCCCTCAACTTGCTTTCTCACACAGGATCTCTGCCCAGGCCCTCACTAGGGCCTGCTCACTTTCTCCTATAAACTTACTCCAAAGGTTTTAGGTGGGGCACAAAGGAGGTGAAATCAGCTGCCTACTGTGACCTTTAACACATGTAACTGGGTCTAACTGGCACCTGTTTTCCTGCCCTGGAAACTTCAGGGCCTTGGTTAGGGGAAGGCAGGGGCATACTGGAGAGAAAGGAGCAGAAGGGACAGGGAGGGCAACCTGGGCCTCTTTGCAGCAACCCACACCTGCCCAGTTCCCACTGGCACACAGGCACACAGAAAAATACTCCCAAGAGGGACTAATTTCCGAGCCCAGTCCCCTTCCAGTCCCGACTCCAGACCCCTAGAAACAACCAGAGGCTTCCCTGCCCTCCCCAGGTAGGCTCAGCCCTACCCAGGAAGGTGCCTTACATTGAGCTCCTCGTCCGATGTTTCCACCTTGAAAGGGCGAATACTCTCATCCTCTTTGGCTGTGGGCCTCACCCCAGGCCCCCACCACCCATCTTCAAGTGGCAAAGTTTCCTCCTTGTCCCGAGAGACGAACCAGTAGATGACAAAGCTCAGCACGGAGGCGAGAAGAATTTCTAGCCACATGGTTCCTGTAAGGGGTGGGGGGTAGGCATCAGCCACAGAGACCACCCACTGGCCAGAGATGCCAAATCCCCAACTTCTCTCCCACCCAACCGCTGATTTTATGTACTTTTGATCTGAAAAATACACAATATAGAAAAATTGGAAAACAAAATAAAAGAGGCAAAACTCACTCCCTACTTAGCAATGAAATTCATTCATCAAATTGGTGAAATGTGAACCCAGGCTGGCTTCAGCACAACTTTGGGTATTAGTGGCTAGAATTTTGAGGACTTGTTTCTCTGAGGGGCTTATGCTCCAGAAGCTTCTCTCTATCTCCTTCATGCCCTTTCCCCAAGAGGTGAGGACCAACTTCTTCTTCTCAGGTATAGGACTGTTGCCCCTAGATGTGTCCCTCTGAGAGGGCCTGTCCTCAGGAGCAAGGGTTGGGGGGGTCGGGGGAAATCTGAAACACTGGAGGTCAGCCCTAACGTGACCACACATCTCAGCTGTCTTTTAATGACCTTCTTGAGAAGTAATTCTGAACAGAATTCACCCATTTCAAATGTACAAGCCGGTGGCTTTGGGTATATTCAGACACACAAACTCTCACTACTATTTTAGAACATTCCCATTATCACAAAGGGAAACCCCGTCCCTTTAGCTACACCCTTTCTCGCCCCACCCCACCCTGCCCTAAGCAACCACTAATCTACTTTCAGTTTCACATTTCACATAAATTCAGCTGTTTTAATCCCCCATTTGTCGACTCCCCTATTTTTTCACAGAACGGGAAGAAAGAAGGGCTTAGTTCCTGCAAACCAATATCAGGAAGCCACTGGCTGGGCATTGTTATCTAGCTGTTCACCTTCCAAATTCCCAGGGAAGTACAAAGATACTTTTTTTTTGGTTCTTCTCCCCATAGTAACCAAGGGCATTTTAACTAAAAGCCCGTGAACTGTAAGAAATGTAATCTATAACCAACCCTAATTTTTACAGTTCTCTCCTTTTCCCTTTCATTCTCATCCCCCCACCCCCATCACCCTCTTAAAGATCACTGTGGGACACAATGTGGGCTGATCACCAGAGTTTGTGCTTCCTGGTTTGCAAATCTGAGACCCCAATACATACCCTTATTTTAGCTTAGCCTCATCAGGGTTTTTCTCCTTCGACAACTAAAAGGAAGAAAAAGCTTACATCAGCCCAACCACCTGCCAAAAAGTCCCTAGATTGGAGTTACTGAACAGCCAAGCTAGAAAGCCCTCAGCCCAACACTTTACAGCTGAAGAAACTGAGGCCCAAAGGGTAATGACTCACCCCAGGAATAAAGGGAGAAAAGAATCATTGCATTTCCTGCCCCATCACAACTGCACTGGGACAGGATTGCTCAGGATGCGGCAGCTGACATCTTGAACCACATAATTCTTTGCTATGGGGGCTCCCGTGTGCACTGTGGAGTGTTTAGCAGTGTCCCTGACCTCTACCAACTCGAAGCCAATAGTAACCTCTCTCTCTCACCCAGTTATGACCTCCAAAAATGTCTCCAGACTTTGCCAAATGTTCCGTGGGAGGGTGGGGGATGGGCGGGCATTGCCCTGCGGTGCAAACCCATGCTCAGTGGTTCAACTTTAGGATATGTTAGAATCACCTGGAGGGCTTGTTAAACTGAGTTTCTGATCTAGGACTCTGGTGTAGGCCGTGAATTTGCATTTCTAACAAGTTCACAAGTGCTGCTGCTACATACTTGGAGGATCTCAGTTTTAGACGAGCTCTAGGAGGGCTGGGCTATCTGTCTTGCTCCCCAGGGTATCCCAGTGAGCACCACACCAGTTTTGGCAGACAAGGATCCCACAAACAATTATTGAATGAACACTGTTGGGTAAGGTAAAAGTATCAGGCTTTTCTGCCCTCCCGCTATCAGAATAGATGATGGATCCTTGCGGTCCTGAATGCATGCCTGATGGCGGGCACCTGGGTGTGGGCATAGGTAGATGGGATTCACCTGGGCTGAGACTGGGCTTTCAAGGACGGTGTCACGGAGAAGCAGGAGAAGCAGAGAAGCAGAACGAAAGAAGAACCATGAGCAGAAGCAAAGACCACCAGAGAATGCCAGAGAGCCCAGACAGAGTGAAGACTTGTAGGCCTCCCAGCCCCCCAGCACCCTTGCCTGCTGTGTACCCGGTAAATCCCAATAGAAAGCCACCGACGGCTCCAGGACTCTCTCCTCCTTTACCCGGTCTGCTGGATCATAGAAAACCTGCTCAGTGTCCTTCCTATCCCCTACAAACACCTGTGCCCAAAGTGGAGGGACTGTAGCCTTTCTGGCAAGTTCGAGAAAGGCAAAGAGCACATGCCACCTCCCAGATAACAGGCAAGCAGAGAATCCCAGAGACTCTGCCCACACAGATAAACTGCTCCCATGAAGAACTGGATCCCCAAGTTGCCCTTCAGGTTATAATTCTATGGGGAAGGGTGGATCCACTACTCTGGCTTCATGGTGTCCAAGATCTCTCAAGAAATTTGAAGTGAATGCTCCAAAGGCTTGGCAGCACAACTCTCAGATTTTACCAACTCTCTTCCTAGGAGGGGGAACTTGGACACGCTTCATAACCTCACCTTCCCACACCCTGCAAGCTGCAGTCTAAACTCAAAGCTAGACACACAAGGCATGCTTACTCTGCAGCCTCAGCCACTCTAGGCTGCATCTCTTTCCCCAGACCACCAAAGCCCAGGACATCATCCATTTTCCATGTCAAAACCCTGCTCTCCCATTTTTAGGGGCCAGGAAAATCTCTTCCATGAATCATCCCTGCTCCCCCCACTCCCAAGTGGCATGTGTTCCTGCCCACCCTAAAGTCTCCCCACTGCTATGAGCTCCTTGTCTGAGTCACCTGCAGTGTTTTAGGGGCATGCTCTGTGCACTTTCTATCATTTGTCAGGGAAGGCCACAGAGCCAGGAGAGAGTGCAACTGCCTGTTGATCGGAGAGCTAGACCTGGGCAACTGTGGCTTTTTCCCACCTTGGAATGTGTGTTCCCTTTGCTTTTCCTGCTCTTGGAAGTTATTTAGCCAAAGTGTGTTCTTTTCTCTTAATTCACTCAGAAACTTCATTCTGGAAGAGAATAAAAATCCAGAGAAGTCTCTGCGCTTATCAGATTATTTAGTCCATGTCCCAGGGGCCCCCGAAAGCCTGTATGCACATAAACAAGCTGGAAGCAAGGAGGTATATGGCATAGGCAAGTGAGATCCGGGAGTGTCTGCTGTCCTCCCCCATGTGCTCACCAAGAACATGACTTGGGGACATGAAGGAAGGCATAAGGCAATGTGCATCTTTGGCTGTCAGCTTTTGCAAGACATGTCCCTGGTGTCATCTGTGCTCCACTTTTCTATCTGTCCTGAGACAGAAAAAAAATGTTCTCAGCATTCGAGTCAGAATTCTGTTTTCTAAACATTGATATTTCCAAGGAGAGCTGTATTTATCTCTTCAGTGTGGTCAGCTCCTGCTGGTGTAGAAAACATTCTAACTACTTCAAAACATCGACATCAGTTTGGGAGACCCTATGAAACATTCAGAAGTAATACAGTACAAAATGAGGGTGCCCACTCTGTGCCTGCTGAGGTGCCTGCTGGCATCTATAATTAGAGTTTACCCCCAAATTCCTGTGTTGTCCCTGGACCACAGCAAAGCCCCTGGTCTAGCCTGCTCATGTCTGCTATGGCTCCCCCTGGCCTCCAACTCTACAGTCAGGGTAATGTTTTGGGAATGTAAATCTGACATATCACACCCCATGCAAAAGCCCTTACAGCTTTCTGCTGGACAAAACAACATTTGGTTAATGTGGACATAAAAGCATGGGTGGTCTCTGCTGCCCTCTCGCCCTCTCCCTGGGCTTCTGCCTCACCCCCAATCTCCATCAGTCCTCTGTGCTTACTGCATTCCCTCCTACAAGGTTTTGCTAATGCTTGTCCCTCTCTCTGCAATGCTCCTCCCTTCTCAGCTCCTTATCTCCTGCTTTTGGGATTCACATCAAGGGTCCCTCCTCTGGGTAGCCTCTGGCCTCTGTATTTAAGCACAGTGCACCTCTCCTGCCTAGTCCTTGTCAGCATCACATTTGTCTGTGAGGTTGTGTGACATGTCAGCCTCCCTCCCTGGCAGGAAGCTCCTTGAGGGTGGAGACAATGTCTGCTTTCGCTGCCTCTCTCTGTGTCTCCACCACCTGGCATTTATGGGACACTGGAAATATTTCCTCAATAGGAAATATAAAAATACATAAATCACATAAATATTTTCTGAATAAATGAACTTTAAAATTCTTTGAATAACAGAGTAGAAAATTGTCAGTACTTTTGAACAAAAGGATGGCTAAATTCTCTGAGGAATGATATATGACCTACTTCTCAGCTAGGTTTGTAGAGAGAGACCAGAAGATGCAGGAAAAGATGCAGGCTGCGTAGCTGGCAGGTGGCACAACTGCAAGTTTCTCCCCCAAAGAAGGCTGAAGCATCAGTATCCTGGCGCATTGCAAATATTGAGGACCCTGAGGATAAGATTCAGGATCTTGTTGAACTACATGAGAGGGGTAGGGGAGATCCTGCCAGCCTGCTCTCCAAGACTCCCACATACCCAGGCAGGTGGGAAGAACCTCACAATCAGAAAATGCTCCTTAAATCACAGAAAGGAGCCACCTAACTCCGACTCAGGACTTAGGCCCCTTGGGCGAAGTGCATTATTTGCAGGGCAAATGCCCAATTGTTCTTCAAGAACAGAGGCTGAGAGGTAGACAAAGCCCTGCGCCTGCTGGGAGGGCCCAGCTCTGATGTCCACGTGAGAAGACCTCCCTTGCTCTGCTGACAGTCACTCAGACTCGCACACCTGGTGCTCCTTCTGGAGGAAGTGTTCCTTGGGGGCAGAAGGAGTGCATTGTGTACCCATCACATGCCAAGCCAAAGAGGAGGGTGGATCGCAAGGGTCTGTGCACTTCTCTCGCCTCCTTGCCTCCTCCCTGGGGGAAGGCGAAAGGAACAGCACA